GATAATAATAATTCCAACCCACCCAGGACCAGAAGCGATGAGTGTTACCCTCCATCAACTCAAAATCGATTTTAAAAATTATCCAATATTCTTGATCAACCTCTTATTATTTGCGAAATAACTATCACTACAACCTGTCCAAATCGCAAATTCTTATCTCTATTATTTACGAAGATATTTGACTTTGAATGTCTTGTCCAGTCGGTTCTGTGGGACGAAAGCGACGCGACCGAACGCATTCCACGACAGGCCAGCACTATTCGCAATTAGCGAGCAATATCACGGCTACGATTCAGGAAATGCACGCATGCCGGTACCGGAAGTCTGCTCTGCGGAGTAATCTCGACGATGGACATTAGTCGACTCATCCTGGTCCGCATTTCCAGTACAGAATCCTTCACAGCTGGTCCTCTCTGGTTTTGCGCTTCATCCCTTTGAGCCTTCTCCTCCGTTTTCAAGTAAAACCTCCTCACTTTTTAAAATATTAACGAAAAAAAAAAGATGATTCAACGTTTCATGCTGCTCAAATTATTTAATCTAATTAATTAAATGAACCAATTTTACAAATTAATTAAATAAATAATATTAGTAGCTTAATTTTTTTGTATTAATTTTACAAACTTTTTATGCAGTCTTGAACTAGTGGATTTCGTGAACGAACACTTTATTCGAAATGAAACGAACTTTTGATGGCCGGTGTTAACAAGCGAGCCACGTTTACGGTTTCTTTCGACGATATCGCGGTTTTTCGTTACGTATGCACGCCTACGCAGGGATGGAAGATGAATGGTACCCCAGAGGACCATTTTCAATTTCCAAAAGGACCAATCTTTTAATCTTCTTCAAAGACAACAATTTTAATATTATTTTATTATTAACTTAAATTGTTTATAAAGATTAGAATTTTATATAAAACGTATGGATAAAGTTTTTCATTTCTCAGCTTGCAATTTTCTGGGCTGACATCAAGTTCTTGTCAGAATTTTAATAAAAATTCCGTGAGCAGGAGAAGACATCGATCAATATGATATCGAATGTAATTTCCTGGCACGATTACAACGTTCATGGGGTGATCAATATTCCCACAATTGGGACAACTAAACCCAATAATCCTGGACACAAATCTTTCGTTATCCCCTCCTTAAACCACCACGTGTCTACCATACACGATAAAACCATCAGTCATCAATCTTCCCTTTTATCAAGATGAACAAAAATGTAAATTTTACGAGAATTTTTGTATTCTATGGAACTCAAAATGTGTTAGATTCTATATAACTCAAAATTTCTGTGGAATATGATTTTACTCGAATGTATTTGGCACGTGGCCCTGCGATATCTACAGCCGCACCTGGCGTCCGGAAAAAGTCGCGGTCTTCCATATCAGTCCAGAAAACGAGAAACGGTTAGCTAAGGCAGATACGGTGTGCAGAATGACCCCTCGTCTTTACTTTCCTCGAAGCCATTAAAGAGGACAGTAAAACTTGAAAACAATGTTCTATAGGGGAGGAATGATAGGGGATATGATGATATTTATGTGCAGGTGGTTAGAAATTCGTGAGGGACGAATTAATGAATCGCGTGACAAGAATGGCATGTTTCCTATATTCCATTAAAATGTAAAAATCAACCTAACCTATCGATACACAATGAACCAGCCAGTTGCCATATTTATAAGTGTACAATAAAAATTTGCTAATTAAGAAATTTGTTTCTTTTTTTGCAAATAGCTAGGAAAGCACAGCTAGCTGCGATTCCACGTGCATTTATTCCTGAACATAAATTCCAAAAGAGGGATCTATAAATAAACTTGACGCTGAGCCACAGACACTGCGAACTTTTTACCCTAGGTGGGAGGTTCTTATCGATTTCATGCTCGAGTCGCGGAGGCAACTCCAGATTTCCCTTGGATTTCAAGTCCTATCGTTTCTGTTTCACTTATTTCTAGGATGCTCGTCGAATTAAATGTTTCTGTCTCACTGAAGAAGACCACCCCAGCATCTCTTACTTCAAATGCCATACATTATACATTCTACATTCTTTCCTTCCCAATAAACATGCGTGTATCAATTATAGGTTAGTCGAGGACGTATGAACAGTCATGGGAGAATAACTTTACCCTATAGCAGTTTCCCTACACCCAGTCACAGAAGTCAAAAATCAATACCAAGGGCTGAGGGAGGGCTCAAAGACCCTGAGACTTATCGCAATCTTTTGTAATGTCATTCTAGGTTAGGTCTTGGGAGTAGGAAGGGTCTGGCCCCTTCAGAATGGGGACCAGACTATCATCTCACCAGAGGGCTCTGGTGGGGCTACCGAAGCTTAACCTATTCCAAATCTCAGTTGGGCCAATTAGTTACATCAAATTAGTGTTAAGATTATGTCTTCAATTATGAACCATGGGTTGAGGTTATGTCACCCATAGGTAAGTCTAAAGACACTCGAAAGACCCGAGGTTCGGCAACCTGTAAAGCTTCGTAGAAAGCCTCCGCCACCCCCGCATCGTGTTCGAAACGGTGGCCGCAGAAAGTAGGACAAGGTTCGTGATAATCGTATCGCCAGCCTGGTGTGTTAACGTTGACGCGCACAGCACACAATTGCATCCTTAGTCGGCGCGATAACGCGATGCCTTCTGACGCGGAACGCGCTATGCTGCCATTCGAAACGAGCCTATCAAACTTTTCGTGAAAACAGACGTTTGTACCTTCGTGTATTCGACTTATAAGATGCACGTGCTCTAGTGTTTCCAGTGGCCTACTTCAGCCGAGCCTTGTGCATCATTGATAGGTTAGGTGTCTCAGGGACAGGATATATCAAGATCAAAGGCATGCGACAAAAGAGCGTGTTGAAGATGTGACTTGTAAGTATAAGGACGATATGAATGATATAAACGTAAGAAATCGATGACACTGAAGTGATGTACTCCTCCCCTTTCTGCCATTAATGCTCTTCAATTACTGTACAGGTATACACGGGCCTTTTATGTATCTGTCTGAAAAGCCTCTCAATCGCATCTACATTCAATTCGAATGGGTGCATTAAAACGTCAAGACGAGACATTTTATGTGTGTTATTTTAATACCGCTGGGAGGATTTGTCTGGGACCGAGAGTATTTTAGAGACGCGCAAGATAAGGGCCTCAATTTACCTGTTGCCCTAACACCTCGCTACTACTATGCAGACGGTAAATTAATTTCAAACTTCGAGGACATAACTTGAACCCTAACTTGGAAAGACTTATAACCTTGTGCTAAAAAAAGGCTGCTAGGTGTCTAAACTGTTTGCAAACAGTATTGCTACGTCCCATTAACCCCTTGGTCTTATCTCACCCTAACCCCTGGTGAATTGCATAGACCCCTCTTTAAAGGGTACTTCAATTCCGGCGGATTAGCCAGCGGGCCAAGTGGAGAATATTCATTAAAATGGCGGAAACGTCATTAAGAAACATCAGAACCCTTCACGTTGGTCATTGTGTGGCGCCAAATAGATGGTATCGAGGCGGTGGTGGGCTGAGGGGATAGCAACAGAGGAAATATTTTTGGAAGATCGATTTCCAACCCCTGACCACCCACGCCGGCTCGTTACATAGTTTCGATTCCAGCGGCTGGCAGAATGAACGTAGATAGAAGATGGAGCCTCCGTATATGTGACGCTCGAACTCTGGATCTCAAAAATGAGTCCAAATCGATACGGTACATTCCACGAGATCCGTTTGTCCGTCATCCGCGTCTTGTTTCGTCGATACACGAGCGAAGGAATTGCATTTCGGACTCGAAGGTCACTCAAGAAGAAATACCTCGTTCTGTCATTAGTCACAGCTGACATATTTGCTTTGGGTCTGAACGCAGAAGAGGGTCACACAGAGCAAGTGGTCACTGACAGTCATTGTAACTGGCCATCTATAGACGAGCAGGGTGAATCCACAGCCTCAACATCGACGGTACCATGAAACAATTCGTGTGCCTTGCGTGTGAAATGACCCCGTGGACCAAACAGGATACCCTTTAGTTTGGTCCACAGGGTGGTCCCATTCAGAATGACGGAAAAGTCCGTCGATTGGCCTGGTGCGGACTTAAAAGTCGACTCGACGGCTACAGCTCTCGGCAGTGAGAAAGGAAAAACGAGGGATAGAGGGGGAGAGACAGAGAGAAAGCGAAGGGGGGAGAAAGACAGAGAGAAATCAATAAGCAGTCTATCGACGGACTGGCTGGTCGGACAGAAATGTTCAGGCTCGAAAATCGCGAGGTTCGAGGCCGTGTAGCACACGGGACGAGTCTGTCCTTCCCATCCGACGAGTCGTCACCGAGCCCGTACCTCCTGTATACGTTGTTCCTATCACGGCTGTACTGGAAGGATGCACCACGCGTCGCACTGCTCTTCCTACACCTGCGATGATGAATCCCCGGTGGTACGAGAGTCCAGAGAACCGACACGACTGGCAACGCACGCAGCACGGGGGTTGTTTCGCGACGATTTTAAAGAGACTGGACTGGACTCGGTAAAGCCTCGCGCCACTGTACTCCGTTATAGCTAAAATATCGACCATTTCGTGGACCCCCGCCCGTCTTCGGACCAATCCCGAGGAAGGACGCGCCTGCGCCACAGGCAACCCGACTGACATCTCGAAACCACCGGGAGAACCCATTTTCCTCGAGGGAGGACACTTGTTGATTTCGATTTCCAGGCTGTCTGCGACTATACTTCCTAGACTCTGAAGAATCATAGTCGGTTTCTAACTTACCGACGGCTGGTGTGTTGGTAAACTTTAATTTTAATTCATTATTTATTCATACGAGCTGCTCTAGGAGACATCCGTAAAAAATGAAGATTAATTTAGGGTGTTAGAGCGCTCCAGTTGCCTTAGAAGAATGTGAAAAATGTTCGTTCTCGAGAAAAACGCCATTGTCTATTCCGTTAGTTCTTCGTAGCTACATAGATGGCACCACTCGTACCATCGCCGAAGTTATGTAGTTACCTGGCAACCGAATTTGTTTATTTGACAATTATTTTGGTTTGGCTTCCACCTCGCCTGGTTGCTTGTAAATTTTAAAGAACATTTGATGATGATCATCTGCTTATTTGATAAATTGACGTGGTAAACATGTCTCATAGTAGTTTCCACAATTCCAAAGACAGTTTCGTGAGGGAGAGACAAATACTGGAACCCGAAGCCAGCTCCGAGGATCATATTGTGAAACGGTCGCAATCTGGACGGCAAATTAAAGAATTAAATCTTAAGTAAAGTCTTATGATAATTTGTTCTACTCGATAAATAATTTCTTATATCAGAAAACCAACATCCAATTTAATTTTCAAGTTGGAGCAATTGCTGTAAGAGCTTTTTCTTTGTAGTCTGAGAAAATGTCAAAGCGTAGATGGATCTGTAAAAAAATTGCATAAAAGAAGGCGCAGGGTGAGGCCACGAAGCCTGAAGGTGCCACAGGTGCCCGAGAAAATTGTTAATATTGTGAATATCCTACAGCACGAAAACTTCTTGGAAGTGGTCGACCGATTCTTCAAGCCCAAGGTTACTAAGCAACCGTGAAGAAGAATCGTGGTCTATTAAGTCCAATATGAGGGAAAAATTGTCATTGTATAATTAAGTTATAACAATTTGTAACTTTGTCCTTCAAACATATAAATAAACATCCTTACATGATGAAGAAGAAAATGTTACTTAAAATACATTGTGCTTTATTCAGCAATTTGAAGCTTGCCATGAACACATTCTTGTCAAACGTCACAGTGTCAAAATACACCTGAATTCTTATTTACAATTAAACTTATCGCTATTGCATATTCAATATGATTTATAATTATAATTGTAAAGTGTCATTAATGTAATAATAAGTAACAATCGCAGTATAATCTTATTTACAAAAATGTTATTCGAAATTGATTAGAAAATGCCTTCTTTATCGACCTAACGTAAAGCTCTTAACCCTGTAAAGGTTGGGGCTGAGTCAATAGCGACCCAAACCTATGAAATATATTAAACTAATCGCAGTGATCCATTGTCCGAGGGTTAAATTCAACAAGGAACTAAACAGTATCATTACAATTTCTTCAAAATTGTCAAAATCATCCAAAAGGTTAATCTTCTTACCCAAATGAATTATTCCAATTCAAAGTTTACTTTCATTGTCATCGTAGATAATAGCCGGATTGGTCGCAGCCCATTTCTCTTTGAACTGTACCTCCTCTTTATTGGGTCTGTTCTTCAAATTCTGAACTCCGGCAAAGTGTTCTTCGATCTCCTTCAAAGTCCTACCCTCTGTTTCTGGCAGTATAAAATACAACAAACACCCTCCAACGAAGTTAATCAGTGCATAGAAAAGGAACGTTCCAGCCAGGGACATCCCATTCACCATGTAGAGGAACACCTTGTTGGCTGTGGAGGTGAAGATGTAGCCCATGGAACCTGCCGCTCCTGTGGCGCTGCTTCTCACCTGATCAAAGTAAAATTAACCTCAAATTCCTATAATTTGTTGCCACATAGTCTAAATACAAGATTCTATAACTTGGAAGTAAATAGGATATGGTGATAACTGTGAATCCTATGGAACATAGTGCTGTCCTCCGGAGGGATGCCTAAGGACCTTATGGTAAGGATGTTCGCAAGGACAGAGATGGGGTTTTAGGCTGTTCTTAGATCCTAGGATCTTTAGGCTGTAGAATGCCACAGTGGTAGCTATAGAACACTTTAGGTAACTAGTGTGGGCTGCCTATGCGTAGGACTTGCGTCTACCCTACAATGAACTACGCCCAAAGTAAAAGAACAATGGATGTGTTATCACCATTTTCCTACAAGAGTGAAGGAAATATGAAGAACGCACCTTTACAGGGAAGACCTCACCAGCCAGAACCCAAGGCAGCAGCCGTATCCCAGCATGCGAGAGGAAGGCGGCTCCAATCATTAAGGTGGTGGGCATCCAGGTGTACTTCTCCACGTCGATCACCTGACTATCATTCAGATAGCCGTAGATAGCGGCCAGACAGAAACTGAGACCTGTGCCACCGATGGACACGAAGTTCAACACACGCTTCCCGACGAAGTGGATGGCGAGGACGCAGATCAGCGTTCCTACCAACTCGGCTAAACCAAGGAACACTGCAGCGGTGTATCCTTCAATGGGAGCGTTCAGTTTGACGAAAATCATCACGGCGAAGGTCTGAAGAGTAATCGTGCCGCCGAATGCCCCAATGAAGAAGGCACAGGTGACCAGCAAGAAGGGCATGTAGAAGGTCCTCTTACTGAAAGACTTCCAAATCTTCTCCTTTGACTCTGCTGGCTTGTGGACGTCCTGACAAATAATTCGGAACTCTGACTGCACCTGGGCTGGACTGACCCAACCTCGCAGCCAGCAGAGGGCCTGCTCTGCTTCTCTTGTACGACCCTTTGCTGGAACGATTATGATAGTCGTTGTAGTCCTGAGGATTTTGGTCATCGTTCTTAATAAAATTTAGTAAAGTGAGTATACCTGCGAGCCAATAAGGGCTCTCCGGTACCAGACACAGGGCAACGAAGCAGATGAGTGGATAAGCCAGGTTGACCAGGCTGACAGTCCTCCAGTTACCCAGCTTACCACCTAACATCTGCGTAAATATCCCCAGAATGATGGACATGCTAGATGTGGCGGACAGCATGCCTCGAAGGTGAGGCTGTGTCACTTCCGCCACGTAGGTCATCACAGGTGCCTCCAGCAAACCCCCCGTCAATCCCGTCATGGCTAATGCGATGAACAGCATCCCAGCGCTGGTTGCATAATAGTAAATGATCCATGCTGCTATGAACGGGATGGTGGTCAACATCATGGTCTTCTTTCGACCTAGGTACTGGGATATGGGGCCACTGACGAAGCAACCAATGGGGACCAGGAATAAGTTCAGGCTACCTAGATAAATTTAAACATGTTATCCTGTTTTTTTAATTAAACAACTGATTTTGAAGAAGGGGCTTACTGATCCAGGTCAGTTCCTCGGTGGTAACTGGTATTTCTGAGTTCTCTTTCTGCAATTCTGGGATCAAAATGGTGGAGAACCCCAAGGTAGAGCCGAAAGTGATCATCAGAAGGTTCTTGGCGCTAACTGCGCAGCATTGTGGCAGGGCTTGGCGAAGTTTTGATATTGAAAAGCTTTCGGAATTGCCGTTTTGCTCGACTGGCGACGTTTTCTCGTCGTTACTGAAATATAAATGAAATGTTGCGTTTAATAGCTGCTGTTAGAGGATAGGATGTGCTTTTATGACCAGCGCCAGGTATTCGTGATTTTCATACCTAGCATTAGACCATTTCAGTTATCAATTGCAATTCGATAAATTTCAATGTAAAGTGTTAACATTTTGTCTTTTGTTTATTGTTATAAAATAAGTGTATGAAGTATGGGTGGTTCAAGGTTTTCATTGGATTCAAAGTAAGGTCTAGCTGGAGATGATTGGAATAAATGTCACGCAAGTAGATTGATGTATGATCGACAAGATGATCGATTCGGGTCGACGAGCACGGTTAAATCGACTCGAAGCCTGAATTTCAATTCCATTGAGGATTTTTTTCTCGTTGAATTGGGTTAATAGTAGCCACGCAGTGGTTATTTAATCGGGATTGAGGTTTCAGTCACTCGCGTTCCAATAGAACGCATGTTCTAAGACCTTCAACATTCTACTTATTTTTAAATAAACATTTATTACCAACATTTTATTTTGTATCGAACGTTTAGTTGCATTTTGAAAAATAATTTGAGATTTTATTGTTAATAATTTATAGTATTGAAAAAACAAAAATTTACATTTATTGCTGTAATTAAAAAATATATATGTATATCTTCATAAATATTAACTCTAATGAATTTAACTCATGTTTGTTTTTTTTAATGAAATTTTCAGTATTGAAGGTTTACATGATAAATCTAAACGTGCAGGTTGAAAAAGAAGTTACTGGTTGGTTGGTTCGTCCGTTAACTGTATTTTTCGTCATTGACATAGTTCCTTTCAGCGTGAAAGGAACCGCTCCAAACTACCGTGCTTACATAATGCTCAATGAGTGCACGTTCACCTGTGCTTGCGTAATTCAAAGCGGTAATCTTCGCGAACCGATTTGTCTCACTTAACTCGTAAACTTAATTGTTTTGTTATCAATGCATCGGAAATTGTTCATTTATTTTTCTTATCTAATTTTTGAAACTGCAAAATATTTTTCTCGAAAACGTAAATAAAACGTATATTATAAAAATTTTTTTGTCCTTAAATATTCTATACGGCTTTCAATCTTTCGTTATAAACAATTAAAAAGGGGATTATTTTTCAATTTTTTGTATTAATTATCCTACAATGGACACATAAGAATAGTTTAATTAAAAATAGATTCGAAAAACTCATGAAATTTAAGATTTTACTAAAAATTCCCTAGGACTGATTCTAGGTATCCCTAGAACTTAAAATCTCAGAATTGAACTTTTTTTCACTTAGAGCAAACTTTTTATTTAAAAATCACTATAAATACATATAATTGAAGTAGAAAAAGCATCTTCTTCTTATAAAATCATCATTTTTATTCAGTTTAAGTTTCACCCCGCGATCTGTCCATATCCTATAATCTAAATTCATACATGTATATTAATTATGAATGCAAGAATTCGTCGAACAGAAATTAATCATGGTATTTATCGTTTGTCCAATCAATTAATCAACGAATCGATCGATAGAGACATCCTGGATGGCGTTAAGTGTCGAAAGAAGAGGGACATTGCACCCGTTACGGTATTACAGCGGATATTAAACGATAAAAAGACAACAGGTTGTCAACGGGAGTTATTTTCGCTAATCCCCTTAATACGTCTCGAGTTTCCAACTAAGCTTTATCTTTTTATTGTACTACTTTCATTTTCGCGTGCAGCACATTTGATATTGCGTAATTCGAATGTAATCGTATCAAGATAGAAAAGGAAATCTCATAATGATGGCTTTCACTACGAGATTGATGGGATTGACGTCAATGATGTCAACTTTACATGATGAATTTTTTACCATTTTCACCATTCTGAGAAAATTCTTTTCAGATAACCTAATCCAGACCGAACCTAACCTAACTTAGAATTCCAGTTAGAAATGATACTAATTTCTTGTTTTTAATTAGGCACCCTAAAATTAGGCACAATTTTATAAGTTATGGTATATGTGATACGAAATCCTAGAAAATAACCTAACTTAGACTTAATCTAACCTAACAAAAGTACTCGAAAAAGGGTTTTTCTTGATTAATGAAAATCTTATCAGCAAGAAAACACTGAAAATAATCAAGTGTAAATAATTTTTCATTAAATATATCTTATGTACTGTATAAAAAACGTTAGATACCACGGTACATGAGTTTGCTTTCACTCGTTAGATGGAAGCTAACATTCCTATGGCATTCAGGAGGCACGCGTTTCCTTATCGCGGATTAAGAACGCAAACTTCGATGAACTTAAGCGGCCATAAATCTTGAAACAATTCTCATACGTCGAATTGATTCTTTTACAGTGAAAAACTAGATAAGATTTGAATGCAATGGCAATAAATCGTAGTAGAATTGAATGGTAAGTTATGACGACGATTCTGGTGTATTAAACAGGATTATAAACATAATCGCATTTTTTGCTTGCTATACAGCTATAAAAAATGCAAAACAATTGATGGTGGTGAGTAGTTGGAATTGTGCAATAATGATACAGTTTCCAAGTTAAGTTCAATTTATGGCAGTGGAGTTTAACTCAATTAACTTTTGATGGAAGGTTTCAATTTTAACTCATTTTATTTAATTAACTTAAGGAGGATCTTCAATATTAACTAAATTTTATTTAATTAACTTAGCAGGAAATTATTTGCCATTTTGACTCAATTTTAATTCAATTCAAAGTTTAAAAATATTATGTTGAGTTAAAAAACTGCTAACCCATTTTTCATTTACATCTTCACAATGACGTTAGAGAGGAAACGATTATGCAATTAAATGGCCAAGGGCAGATCAGCAGAAATTCTTTTCTGTCATTATATTTAGAAATGCAATTTATTACAGCAATTAAGCGATTTAATGGATGCTCTAACAATTAAATATCTTTAATCTTTCGTTTTTTAAAACTGCAAAAAATTTAGTGTTTCCTTTTGTTGTTTGTTTAAGTTCCTTTGATGCAATCATTTATTTTAAACCATAATTCAATCCGTTGAACACTATAAATTAAAAATTCATTTGAAAATCTTAATTGCAAAATTTTAAAGAAATAAATAGAATGATTTTAAAATAACTTATCCAAGATTGTCAATTCCTGGTATGTGTTTAAAATGTTACACTTATTGTTTCTACTGATTATCTTAAATCTCTATTTCTTGTTAAAGGAAAAGCAAACATTACGGTGGAAATTTTAATGTCATCGTTTCGTAAAATACGAAGAACAAGATTCTAACGTTTATTATCAATCTACTGTCAATACCAAACGTATTTTTCTTAAAAATATAGAAATCAGCTGTTCAAATTGAACCAAGGTTAAATTTTCATTTTCCTGATTTGCATATATTATCAATTTAATCAGTTACTGAAATATCAACTAATCAAATCCTATTGTTATCAAACCTCTAATTATAAATTAAACGATTATTAAGAATGTCAGTAATCCCGTTTGCCGAAAGATTTTCCTGAAGATTTCTAATTGAATGTGAAAATCAATTTCAGACGTAAAGAAAACATTTATTGAAACTTATTTCACCTGTAATTAAATGCCTTATCTTAATTAAATATTTCTCTCGTAAAAAACGAGTAAGAGTAAAGCAATGTGAAATTATTCATCTCCCGTTGTAGTAATAAATTACAGATACATGAATTATACAAGGTCTAATTATGTACAGACATCAAAAGAAACCGGTTTCACATTTCTGATCTATCGAGTTTCCGCTATAAAGTAGCCTTGTCTTATTTATTTTTTTTCAAATTCCCAAATTATCAAATCAATCAGTTTCTAAATTTTCCAAAATCATATCAATTTTACCAAATTTTCAAATAACCAGTAAAATAAATTAATACTCAGTAAGACGTGACAATTGAATCATAGAACCTTGTTTAAAATAAAAGAAGAAGATGGAAGGAAAAAGTGTTTTGATAAAAATGATTCGACATGCTTCGCTGATTCACAGACACAACAATACTAAGTGCTGTTTGATTAATGATTCTCTATTTGTTTTCACTGAAAAACGAACGACAAATAAATTCTACAAAAATTGCTGTTTGAGAAGATTACAAACCTCGAGTTGTTGTTCACAGACAGCGGCATTTTGTACGGATGTTTCTATTGTCTTCAGCTAATTTTTTGACAAATTTCCTCACACGTCCATTCTTCGTAAACCGAAACTTCTTTTTAACAGTGAAACACGATGAAATAATTATTTTAAACTGTCTTTTATATATCTTCAAGTTTTCTTCTTTTCTTCCTTCTCAAATTTAACTAAGGCACAATTAACTATATTTTCTTCTTTCCTTAAAATTTAGCAAAAATGTGCAAGCACAATATTTTCTCTTCCCAAATTCTTTGATTCGTCTAAAATTTCTTCAAACCATCCCACGTCTCTTCTGCAGTCCATGTAGGATATTTACTAGTATCCTCGAATCCTTGCAGTTCCTGTTCACCTTCGCAGAGTCGTCTTCCTTTCTCCAAAAGAAGAAACAAAGCCTTCCTCTCCAATGATATTCAATTTGCCAATGAAGATCATTCAACAGATTTTTCTCATTAAAAATCAATCTCTTCTTTGATCCTCCAGTACTATGTCTCCCAATACTACGATATCTTTGAAAAATGAATCAATTTCTACCGAACACCTGTTCGATAACCATCTGAGTCATGAAACAATACTTTTCACAAGTGCCACCTTCACCTTTCCTCATTTTAGCAATTTTATTTCAATCTCTTCACTTCTGGGCATATGGGTACAGGATGACCGGAAGACCGAATGGCTCTTCCGCTTCTATCCGGAGGAGTCGTTCGTTGAACGGTTAGCGAATCACTAAAACCGAAAGTGGAGAACTCGGGTGCACCTACCGATTTCCTCCTCCTTCGGGCACACGACTGCTTTCATGAACGGCTACACACGACCTGGTTCCCCTCAGTCTCTGGTGACGAGCTGTTACACCTATCGTGTCTGCCAGTCGCGTTTCAGAGTTAATAGACGAGAATCCCGCTTGCTAATCCTCTTTACAAATTGATCGTGATGGATGTCGACTAAGAGAGGGGGCTGGAAAGAGGTACTACAGAGCTTGACGCGTGGACAATCGGAAATGACCGAAGAGGAATTCCCTGGGTCGTTAGGAAAATCAGAAACATTGATGATGTATGAAGGAAAAGGTGAGAAATATTAATTACATCATGTTGTAATGAAATAGAGGACCTAGACATGTTATTTTAATATAATTCTCTTTGGGGTTTTGAAAATTCATCCTGGAATTCAAGGAAATAGGTAGGGCCTGTGGGAGTAGCAGTGAGTCTATAGGGTGCTGTAGGGAGGAGCATCATTTGGATGCATGGAAGATGGGTAAATAGGGTTTTATAATCAAATAGAGGACCTAGACATGATTGTTAAGTGTTATTGTAATATAATTCCCTTTGAAAATTGATCCAGGTGTTCAGGGAAATGGGTAGGACCTGTGGGAGTAGCAGTGAGTCTATAGGGTGCTGTAGGGAGGAGCATCATTTGGATGCATGGAAGATGAGAAAATAGGATTTTATAATCAAATAGAGGACCTAGACATGATTGTTAAGTGTTATTGTAATATAATTCCCTTCGAAAATTGATCCAGGTGTTCAGGGAAATGGGTAGGACCTGTGGGAGTAGCAGCAGGTATATGGGGGTGCTGTAGGGAGGATGCATGGAAGATGGGAAAATAGGATTTTGTAATGGGATAGAGGAGACAGGTATGATTTTCAAGTGTTATTTTAATATAATTCTCTTTGGGGTTCTGAAAATTGATCCTGGAATTCAAGGAAATAGGTAGGACCTGTGGGAGTAGCAGTGAGTCTATAGGGTGCTATAGGGAGGAGCATCATTTGGATGCATGGAAGATGGGAAAATAGGATTTTGTAATGGGATAGAGGAGACAGGTATGATTTTCAAGTGTTATTTTAATATAATTCTCTTTGGGGTTCTGAAAATTGATCCTGGAATTCAAGGAAATAGGTAGGACCTGTGGGAGTAGCAGTGAGTCTATAGGGTGCTATAGGGAGGAGCATCATTTGGATGCATGGAAGATGGGAAAATAGGGTTTTATAATCAAATAGAGGACCTAGATATGATTGTTAAGTGTTATTTCAATATCATTCTCTTTGTAACTTTGAAAACTGATAATGGGCTGAACCTCCATAGACACTGAAAAAAGGAAACAAAAATGAAATAGCTTTCAGAAAATTTTCCTATCTTATCACAGTACCATTCCAAGGTTCCTAGACCATCTTTCTATGAATATTTATTCGATACACTTGACTATCATCATGTCAATAATATATAATTAGTTATAAACCACTTGGGGATTCATTCATTCCAAATGGATACATATGTAAATAAAAATTTCTTTAATTTTTTAACGATATCAGGCATGATTTTTTATCTTATAATTTATGGAAATCTTGGTCCCCCACTTATCAACTAATCTTATCAGGCATCTATGAAATTCTAAAAGAAATAACATATTTACCTTAAAATGATAATAAATCATTTCATAAATTTTATGTAGTTCACTTTTCTAGCCAGACGAGTTTCAACATTTTTTAATTGAATACATAATCACCTCATGTTAAAATGTTTCAAATAAGATTTCACATAGTACGATTTACATGTAATTAGAGATCTCGTCTTTTACGTCAGCATTAATCTTATTATCATGGAATTACAAGTGAAAGTGTTCATAATAGTCAGATTGCCCAGTGATACTCTCTGTGAACTCCATCAAGACAAACATAAACATTTAATTAATGATAATTAAAACTATCATTTAGATAAAATCAAATCAACTTGTCATTTACGTTATCAATGTACTACTTATATTTTCCTATCTATAATCAAATTAAATTATGTTACACTTATCAAGTGGAACAAAATTACCTTCCAATAATGTATAATCATGTATTCATTTCAAAGTCATCATTACAAATGCAATAATATTTATCAACAGAATTTACTTCTTTCTAATTGTAAATGTCAAGTGTTGTTAATCTTAGAGAAATTGAATTTCAATCTTTTAGATAATTCTGTTGTTTACTGGCTGGTGAATGTATACTGACATCTTTCCATACATTAATATTAATGTCTGCTTAATTATAATTTAATTTTACACGTGTACGTTTTGACGTGAAAAATATTAATGACAAAATGTGGTGTACTAATAAACATGTACATAAGGATTATACATGTTACTTGTCCCTATTTAACGTTATAAAGATTAAAATTTCTTACGCATGTTGTCCAAACATGGGATTGTTCAACATCTGTTATACCATTCATTGATCTCTAAATCTTGCCAGTTTATCCCTGAATGGGTCAACAATACTAATTAATTGTAAGTATTCTTCCAATAACTGTACATTAATTGTTCTATAATACTTGTGTGAAGAACTATGACAGAAGGATCTCTTTGGATGAGGACATGATAGCAAGTATGGAAACAAATAAAGATCTAATAAATCTGAGAATTTATTAAGAATGATATATCTTGGTGTACGACACATTTGCACGTGTTAAATTAATTAAATAAATATAAAAATCACGCGGACTTCTAAATGATCGTTAGCCAGCCAACTGTGCTGTTAGAAGTACATCTTTTTTTTCCCTTTATTTTCCTTTTGTCTTTTTAATTAACTCCTACTAGTTACCGAGTGTGTCATGACCTGATAACATTTACAACTTTGGTTAAGAAAAATATATACCTCTATTATTAATAGATGAATGACCGAGCACTAGTTGTCTCCAAACATGGTATCAGAAAATAAAAGAAACTTGTCAATATAAATCGTCATATAGTTCAGTCTAAAGGCGTATAGATCACTATTTTTTAACATTCATTTCATAACACACATGCCAAATTTCTATCGAAGCTAGAATCCTCTAACAATTAACTGAAATCATTTGTATAAAAATTTCTATACATTTGAACACTTTGTTTCATTAGTTCTTTTGTTTTTCAAAACCCTAAATACATCACTGGAAGTTAGGTATCACATGATTGGAAGCATAGAAATACACACTCCAGTATACCAAAGACACATTTCATATTTACAATTGAAAGTTGTGAAATTCTCATTCAAACGGAAATTTAGTTAATTGTTAGGAATCCTTTGTGTAACGTTGAACACTCTGTTCAATAACGATCCTCTATAGTTTCACACATGGACTTGATGATCAATCAACATTTTCAGCTGATTCGAAAGAAGAATATAACATTGGCTCGACATGCACACCCTGTACGTTATTCTTCTTTGAACTATAAATGTATCATAGAGTGAAAAGCTTTCACCCATTATCTACAATAATGTATATACGTATAAAATAGGACCCACTTTAGTTCGTTTGAGTACAACGATTCTCCTTACAAAAATAGACCGCTAAAGCTAAACGAGACTAAACGTTTTTTAATACACGGGATGTTAAACACTGAATCCTTGAACGCAACGTTTCCATCCAAAGAGTTCAACCCTCGCAAGAAGAACCCTTGGCTGGTAAAGTTATATTACTCCATTAATGAACATTTTACGATGAATTTTCATTTAACGTATGAATGTAATTAATTGTAAGTTCAAAAGCCTTTTCATTTCTCAATCTACATAGAAGGGCTACGTACTAGAAGACTGAGATCTATTTCTTCAATGTAGTCCATTCCTACATTTTCTTTATTTAGTCAAACTAAATAAAGATAGAATTAAAGGCACTCTGTTAGACCGTGATGCACGTAACAGAATTACACATAGAACAAATGAAATCTTACTAATACACTCATACTTCTATCTTAAAATTTGTTCAATTTAAACACTTCAATGGGATATAATAAAATATCTGATCCTAAATTGATTTTTGGTAAACCGATACATTCTATATATATATATATATATATTTTTTTTTTTAGTAAATAAATTTCTCGATTTTACAACACAGAGGTGAAATTCCAGCACTTCTGTGTTAAACAGCACCGGTTTAACAAATGCAGAGTTTCTCGTCCAAATCTCAGAAACCTCTTAAATAGAATATAAACAACGATATCATGAAAATGCTGCTAAATCGCGCCGCAAAAATAAAATTGTATGCCTCGAAAAATAGCACAGCCATTCTTTTTTCTTTTTTTTTTTTTTCTATTTCTAGACAATGAACGGATACCAAACGTTATTCGATTATCTAAAAAATATGGATTTATCGTATCACGTGTATCATTGTCTTCAGCTTTACATTCCTCATAGTGCTTTCGTACTCTCAATATTTAAATTCACGCGAATAATTTTTCTCTTCGTCGATTAAAAAATTTCTATACCAACTTCGCTGAGAAGGACAAGCGTACTTTACCATTCTTTCTTTTTTTTTTTTCCTTTTATCGTCATGACAGACTATAAATATTAAGGCGCGACTATGCTGTAGTCGAAATGTAAAAAATTTCGCACACCTAAAGTGTGCAAGACGATGTTTTAAAATGTAAAATGTACATTATGTAAAAAATTTCGTTATCTCCCCAAGAGCGTAGGATTTCTTTGCTCATATGTTAGAAATTAAATAAGAAAGAAGAAACAAGATGAAACAGCAACGTGCATATACAGATATTAATCTAATTTATCAGACACCAACGGGAATCTGACTATGCGTAATTGCCGCCCGAAATCGCACACTACGCTATCCCTTAAAACTAACATTTGTTTTACGAAAATACAACTATCCTTGTGGCCCAATCTTACTTCTCGTACAGGCTCGCCCGTCCTGACGTCCCAAACTATTAGCGATCCCTGAAACGTTACAATTCATAAATATTCGTATCCTAAAAATAGTATACCAACGATGGCCATCGACTGTTCAAAGTAATTATAACATAACCTCTAAACGAGAATAAACATTGGCATACCTGATTACTGGTTATGAGTAGATGATGCGTCAACATGACTAATTGTAGACTATACGCTGATCTGTGTGCTGGAAGAGCATGTAACAAATGTCCCTGAAATCGTTCCCATACACATAACCTCTCATCGGTCCCGATGCTTATCACATACGATACGGAACAAGTAATAGCTGCCACAGCACCGTCGTGAGCTTGTATACTGTACATACATGTTCCTATAAAAAAAGAATGATAAATTATTTAAGTACAAGGGAAATTATCAGGAGGTAGAATTGGAAGTACCAGTTTGAAGATCCCAGACGCATAACAAGCCATCTTGGGATCCGCTACCGGATGTCATAGGACTCATCCTGTCAATGAAGAGACAAGATATGGGCCCGCAGTGACCATGAAGAGTGTACAATGGCAACTGGTCTTCTAGCCTGAAATTGAACAATGAAATGAAGCTACTGAATGTACACCAGTTACTAAGTATTGTTATATAATATATACCTATATACTTTAAGAGTATGATCTTGACTACCAGTTAAAACTCGACCACCTACGCTGTCGAGCACGGTTATTGCTTGCTGGTGTGCTTTATGCGAACCGATTTTCATACAACGGAGATCCTCCGATTGCATGATGTTGTTTATGTCCATAGGCGAACCAGCGCTTCCTGTTCTAACGTGGGCTGAAATAAGGAACACGTTGTATAAAGTGGAACCAAAGAATGATAAAGACATTAATGAATGACCTTACTTCTTCTATACGAGGTGAAGCCCCAATCAATTTGTTGACCTTCGCTGTAACTTTCAAGCTGCAGGAAGTCGATGGAACCGTTCAACTTGGCCGCCACCACTCTACTTCCGACAAACTTAACAGCGGATATTCCGAGCCCTGAACCATCGTCAAATAAACACTGATAAACATAACAAATATTTAATTTAATGATTTCAATTTTTCTGAGCGTCAGTTTATATTGATCAGTTACCTTAAATCTGCCCGTGGTACCTTCCCAAAATTCTAAACTCCCATTTGCGCATCCCACTACTATCAGGTTCTCCTGATAATCCATGCACCAAATTGGAGACACCGAGTGCATAATCTGCACGGTACGGTCGGTACTCAAGGAAGATATACTGTCCACCAATCCGGATGAATTCACTTTCCCATTAGGAATGTACAATTGTTCAAAGCTCTCCGACTTCTGTAATTCGTCAATTGATCTATTATGTTCCTCAAAAAGCTGTTTATAGTGATCACCGAAATCAAATCCATGTTCGTAATTCTGCTGCAACGAGGAACGTTTCATGGTGGAAAATTTCACGTTTATCGTTGATTTTAGATCAGGAAGATCATAGTAACTGTCCAAGCTCCTACGAACGTTCTTCCTTCTTTCCACCCCGAATTCGTTGATCTGATAATCGTAATCAAACGTGTTACCCATCGAGTGATTTCTATTCGTGTTCTGTCCCCTGTGGATATTGTACAATCCAGGGGACGACTTTCTGTAGGGTACAGTCGTGGCTGACGAGTAGAGACCGAATGAATTATTCCCCTCCATTTCCCCTCTGGAAGGTGGTGAACCACTCTCGTAATCCGACATTAACTCGTCCATGTCCGACGTGACGTGGTTCAGATTTTTCTTAGGGCTACTGAAAAATTGCTTTCTATCTATGTGAACTAATTGTTCACCCGACGTTGCATCCCATACCCTGATGTGACCTGCTAAACACGTACTAGCAATGGTGTTGCTATCCGTGGCAATGCACTCCACTTCCTGTGTGTGACCTTCCAGAACCAACGGCAGTGCCTCAAGTACCAGCTGCGTAGCTGAATCGTGCGCCTTCTCTGGTTGGTACCAGCTGGCTCTCCATTCGGCATAGTTTCTCGAACAAATGCAACGATAAAGAACGACCATCGTGTAAGCGACAACAATGACACTGATCAGGCAAAGTACCGCGGCTAAGAATATTTCCATTGGGCTGGATGGAATGAAGGGTGCGTCCGCGTTGAAACCTCGACCTTCGGACCTGGTTGGTAATTCCATATCTGGAATGATTTTTAATTAGACTCAAAGTACATGAATCTGTAATTTGATTATAATTCATACCCGAGAAGTCTAATGGATCAAGAGCAGCAGTCGCAAGGCTCTGCCATTGAAAATGCTGCACATCGTTTGGATTGCTGATTTGTTTAGCCAATTGTGGGCTCACCGCATGGGATATTTTCACTGCTGGTAATATAGTTATGCGACCGCCAGCGGCAGATATGTTGTACATTGAGAGAATCGAGGACCAGTGGTAAAGCGACAAACGATTCCAAGGTGGGAAGTCGACTGGTCTCAATTTATTTAATTCTTCAGTAATGTTGTTCGTTAGATCATTCTAAGAGACAATAAAATTCAAGATAATATTATCAGCTATTTTTCACTGTATTTATATTAAGTTACCTGTTTATTTAAGTGATCAGGAGCGACAGCAGACGAAGGGATTGATAACGGTTTCATTGTATTTAATTCAACGTAATTATTTAAAGCATGGGATCTGTCTACAGTGTAACCATCGATATCAGATTCCGGTTTCAATGTCTCGCTTAAATGTATGACATGCTCGACGATCCCGGAATTGTATATGATCATACTGATCCAAACGACCATCCATACCATGAAGGCGCGTTGAAATATTCGAGTTCTTGCCCAGAAATGTACTAAACGGAGACGTTTCGGAATTTTTCCAAGAGTGTGGGTGTTCTGTGTGTTCGGTGCTATGACATTCGTGGGACCGGTAGCCAAACCGTTTAATCTTGGATGGGATTTCGATCGAAATATGTTTGGCTTTCTGTTCGTAATGGTTGTTGTAAATTGTTGTTTGCGCGTAGTTGGAATATTTGGCAAATGAAATTTCGACGTCTCGCTGGATAATTCGGTACGTTTAATGTCGATAGCGAGGATAGTTGAAAAGAAGACCATCTGAAGGAAGAAATCATTGACTAATCCAACGATGGCGAATATACAGAACTCTTGTATGGCTGGCACGAATGTGAACAATCCGATCGTCAATATCGTTACTTCGGTAAGTAGGTTTTTTGTAATGGACCAACCTTCTTTGGATAAAGCTTGAGCAACGCGTATCTTCACGTCCAAATGTGTCGGTGTACTAACTACACTTTTGGTCAATATCAAAACATTTTCCAACCCTACGATAATCACCAAATATGGGAACACTTCCTTTCCACTTAGACTTAACGTTAAGCCAAAAAAAAAGCATACACCCACGGTCATTGAGAGTGAACTGATCACTGTTACAGTCGCGCTAAATGCTATGCCGATTTTCGACTTTATTAATTCGATCTTTCGCACAGAGAAATAGACGTAGAAAAATAATGCAAAGAATGTCATCATTAGTGGGAAAAAATCACTGTAATTGAATTCACCAGGATATAAGATGTGTAACGTTTCATCAACGCGATCGTAAGTATCATTGTCACCTACTTGATGAAGGTGGTAATAAGTTTTTAATCTGTGTTTCAATCCTCTTATAAATCTGAAAATTAAGTTAAGTTAAATGATGGGAGTTGAAAATTGCAATTAACAGGCGTCTTATTTCTATACTTACTCGGGATCATAATCCTTTAAATAGATAGTTACTGCATATTGTAAAATCCTTTGTCGAAGACGACTGGGATATCGTTTTGTTCCAGTTTCTTTAAGATTCATTCCGAACATTATTTCAGCTAAACTAATTTTACCCTTTTGTAGATTCTATAATATACAAATACATAATTGTAGCAGGTCATTTTACTCAAAGTATCGTAATTATGTATGATTCAGCATATTACAAATTGAATCCAATGCAGTTTATCAATGTTCCTACCTGATATGAATAGATTGTGTTTATAAGATTTGTATCTTGTGCATATAACTCAATACTTCGTTGCCACAGGTTCGCAGGGGAAAGAACCAAACAATTATACTCTGGCAAAACATCCGACTTTTTGCCATTTCTTTTAACAGCTTCGACATGTAAACATACTTGACCGAGGGTTTTTAATCTAAAAGCAACAAGAGAGTTAATAACAAGGCTATCAATACAAAAATTGTGACAAACATGTAACTCACGTTTCTGGATGCTGATAATTCTGTATAATCTCTAAAAGATTAAAAATTTCATAAAGTGGACCCCGGAAAGCATCCATTAATGTTAATTCCTCTGTCCATGGAATAACTCCGACCCTTAATACCACTTGTTGCACATAGAACACATGATTCTCTGTGCTGTTTTCAGGTACAATAGTATGATTGATTACAGCCCTTGGCGCGTTGCCAGGCATAGGTAAATTGACCAAAGGATAACTGAAGAAAAAAATATTACCGTGTCTTAACGTTTGCTATGTTACAAAGAAATACATAATTAAGGAAACAGTTACCAACCAACATAGCATTACTATCGATATTGCCAATGAAATAACTGCGACAGGATGAGAAGAACAGAACAGGCCATGGGCATAATAAAGCCCTGCCACCCTATCTGGTAAACTACGGAACATTTCACCTTAAGGCTGTCTCACCAGCATGTCTCATAATATATAAATATACATATTGCTAGCATTTGTCCTATGAAAATAAAAAAAAAGTTGCATAAGGTACAACGCTCATTGTAACATTAGAAAAAAAAAAAAAAAAAAAAAAAAAATGTAAACTCAATTAGCGAAACGCGACCCATAATATTTTGTAATTGATGCTTGTAATTGAAACGTGACAAGAGGCAACAGAAAACAAAAACTATCGTCCACGTGTTTTTTCTCGGAACACTAACGCATCGTTCAGTTCATATTTGCGCTAGAACGTGAAAGGGTCAATGATGCGAAGCGCGCAAGGTTACGACGAACAAACGCATATTCTTTCGTGCAAATTAGTGACGCAATAACGAGTAGATAAAAGGAACGATGATACACGACGGTCGAATTCCTCGGGGGGTACACGTCGACGCATCATAACGTGGATTGCATTGTAGACATTGCGTATCACTTATGTATGCGTACGAGACTAATTATATTATTTCTCGGCTCGGTACTCCTTTCGTGGAACCGTGGACTGCAGCAACAAGTGATCGATGATCCTTTTTGTTAGCACCACTACCTATTGGACATCGTCATGAAATTCTTCTAGTAGGTACCATGGAAGGTTCTTTCACGTAGAAAAACGATTTGTGCGTAATAGAAAAATACACTGGAATGGTACGTTGAGGGATAATACCCCTGTTAGGTTATCGACGTTTGAAACGGAACGGAGAACGTTAGACGCATAAGAAACTCAGTGGTACCTCGAGAAACAGATACGAATCTGTGGGATTTCGAGGTTATGTTCGTTCCTCGGTAGCGCACATTTATGCGTAGATAATACTGGAATTGATTTCACAGGCACGGCGTAAAATACACGAATCACTCACACGTGTTCCCGGACGCGCGTCAATCGTCGAACAAGCGGACGACAGAGGCGAGTTTCGAGCGTTGTAGATGGTGGTCGAGTAGCGACTTCCAACAACACACGCACACGATTGACCGAAACCGCCGGCGCAAATTCCCCGAGTGCACTGGCCGGTTTCAATTTAACTCGCACGACGCTGCAAGCTAAAGAGTGCTAATTTATTTATAAACGGTACAGCCGTGCCCCCGACATGCAACCAATCGTAAGTGCACGAATGTCGTGCAACCAGTGCCCCTCCTGCCTTTAGCCACGCACGTGCTGAAAAATTTGATAAATCTTAAGAATGAAACCGGTCGCGTTCGACACGTTGATTTCTTGCGTGTTCAGACGTGACGATAGTTTACGAACGAATGAAAATCATTCCGAGTTAACTGGCTCTGCTAAACGCGTTTGTATTCTGCTTATCTTTTATCGTGACTGAATTAGTATTTATTGACAAACGATATATGGAAATTTGCGTACTAAATGTCAATAGTCATCGAGGAAAGTGATTCCTTTTTCCTTGTTATCTTTTATAATCAGGGAATGTACTGAATATATTTGAAAAATAATAAACGTGTTAAATTTTAATTGTGAAAAATAAATAAAAGGGGAATATTAGGAAAAAAAAATATGATATTGAATTTTTCATATTTAAATTGTGTTTCGGAAAAGAAACGCAGGTGGCGCCAGTGTTCCGTGAAATTGGCAGTTAAACTGTCCTCGGCTCCTGTTAAAATTGTGAAAATTGTGTGGAAAAGTAACTTCAATTTGACGAAATTCTTCTTATGGAGTAATTTAAAGGTATATTTCATTATAGTACGTTGTATATTTTCGATAATTTCTTTTTATTTTGAAAATGATTGCATGCGTATGCGAGGTCAATGTCAACTCGTCATAGATGCAATCATATTTTTTTGATTTTATATCGTGAACGTTTTGCGATGATATAACGCGCTTATTATGGCAATCTAATGTCAATAAATGTAAATGAAGCGATGTAGAAAATAAACGGTAGACGTCATCAGTCATTACATTACTTTACAAGAAAGGATCGACAATTGTATACATATATGTATTCCCGAAATATGACGCCATTTTTTACGCGATTTATGTTGAAAATTCTCGAATACTTTCGAAATAAAAAGAAAAAAGGAAAAATCTTGACGAAGCTAAACTCAACATATGAAAAATTTAAAAAGGACATTTGCATTTGCATTTGCATTTGCATTTCATTTATTCATTCGAGCGTTTATTTATTCATCCGATGTTGAACAACGGTACTAAAAGTGACGCGTGTCGGGTTACAGAGACAAAAAGAAGCTTATAAATCGTGGTAATTTTTGTTGACAACGAGAAATAGAGCGACTTCGACAACCTTACGATGAGAGTGATTTTTTTTTTTTTTTTTTGATACCGAGAAATTACACGTAGGTTACGCGCCTTTTTCACGCGCAGCCATGATGCGTTGCGCAACGCGCGGGACATTTGAATTGCTAATCTGCGGGCTAATGAAAATCAAGTTACCTGCGAGACTACGTTTGAGAAATATTACCTACCACGCGCATGGCTCGTAAACTTTAACTCAATCAGTGAATTTTACAAGCACTGATTGAGTATGCAAAATTTTAAAGGTGATTTAATTATCGGTACAACTAGGATTTTTATCTAGAATAGGCCATATTTCTTAGCTTTAGTATAAGTGTTAATTGTTTAATTCTAACATAATTTTTATTCATATTTACTATACTATTTATCTTAGGTATCCTAACCTAAGTAGGATTTTATAGGTACCATAGGGTTCCATTAAGTACCATAGAGCTCCATAAGTACCATAGGGTTCAAAACTAAGTTTCACCTGTGTTGACCTGGTATCCTAACCTAAGTAGGATTCCATAGGGTTTTATAGGTACCATAGGGTTCCATTAAGTACCATAGGGTTCAAAACTAAGTTTCACCTGTGTTGACCTGGTATCCTAACCTAAGTAGGATTCCATAGGGTTTTATAGGTACCATAGGTACCATAGGGTTCAAAACTAAGTTTCACCTGTGTTGACTAAAAATTCCTATAAATTCTTAATTAGTTCCCTGACAAATTACGTCAGTATGATGTAAATTACATCTAACTAGAAAATAAAATAAAAAAGGAACAGATCAATGGACTAATGAGATATCTCGTTCAGAGATAACACTGGTATCTGAATCGCCTTTTAGTCGCGATTTATGCGAGAAATGCTGGATCAGGTTATACAGAATACCGTGGACACTCAATCCTTCGGGTTGACACTGGTTGACACTCAATCCAGGACAAAGCAAATCGACCATTACCGCATATTCTCGTCAAATCCCGCGACAGTCATGCAAACTGTATTACGTTCACAAAGATGTCTCATTCGTCTTCGATCCAACAGACGAGTAGCATGAATTCGCTAAATGGAACAACGAATTATCGAAAGAAATCAACAACATAGCCTCGTCTATCTTGCCTCTGCTCTATATATAGTTATGTAACCGTGATCTTGCTGAAACCTCGGAGAGAAACGATTAATGACTGATCACTGTCATGTACGTCTAAGAACGATTGTAAAAACCGAGATATGTACGCGTCGGTGGCACATATTGCGCAGGACGCACAAGGTGCGTCGAGCTATGAGATATCATAGGACGCACAAGGTGCGTCTTGGGTTTTGAACGTAATAATTGACGTCAATAATTTATCGTCGTTTACAAAAAGTACATAACGGGAATTTGGAACTCTTTTTTCCTTCTTTGGATCGATATAATTATATTTATGAGTTTAGATGATAAGACATTTGCTTTGTTCGAATTGGGTGCCTTACGATAAACAAGCAGATTAATACATGGAACGAAAATTTTTGATTCTATCAACAAGCAAGCACAAGTTACGCTTGTTATTTCGAAGAACATGCTGTATTCTCTCCGGAATCGTGGCCTTGCGTGAAATTACCGTGATTGAATCGATTCAGTGCCAAACAGTAGTGGACAGACTCAGAGGTGAGCCTCTTGGATGGCTCACGACCTTTCGGTTTTAGACGTCCACCTGGTCATTTGGTTATTTTTGCAAACACACCCACTCAGTGTCTCGTAGAACGGAAATGCAACAGACGACGAATAAATGTTTTCTTCGACGTTTGCAATGTCTATTCAGGTTCTTTGGGCGTCCAGGAATTTCTCTGGGGGAAGTTTGTACCTTATGGCTGGAAGGGTTACTCGAGGGATCCTTCTAATTTTTGAACAAGACTTTGAGAGATTCTTCAATATTCCTCATTATTTTTTTATTAAGGACTTCAAAAGCTTTGACCCTCGAGAGATCCTTCCAACTTTCAAATAAAAACACTGGAGGTTGTTCCCACTTTTTGCTTTTACTAAAACTTTCAAGTTTCTTCAAATAGTTTTTTGATGAACTCCAAAACCCCTTTATTGGTGCTATCGATAACTATTTTAAAATTGTACACGTGATAAGGGGATTTATGATAACTATGTTAGATGCCTTAATTCAACAATTTCTTTTTTTTTATGGTAATGGAAAAATTCGAGATTGCGAGGGATTTTGTGGGAATCACGTTAATCGAAGGAACTAAGTGTGAAGGTTATCTGCCACTCCTTATGTCAGATATCATTTTTATGTGTCACGCGTGTACTTCATGGCCCGAACGGCCATCTCTCATATTGTGGACACTGAACGATCGCATTTCTGAAACAAAGTGTGCCTCTTAGATGGAACGTACTAGGTTGACTACGTATCGAGACAAATGAAGCATCAACATTTATCATCACTATAATTATGTCATTTATTATGAAATAAAAGATATGATGGTATAACAAAAAACATATTTGTAGGATATGACAGCTTAGATATTTCTATTTCTAGAATACTTCTAATTTTTTGTTTCAAGAAAAAGTAACTTAGATCCGTTAATTGACCCCTGGACAGATAGACATTGAACTTCTCTAGATAAAATTTATTCCTTGGACTAATTTTATGCTTGAATTTTATAGGTGAAAATGCTAAGGTCATATGCAAATTTGAACCTAATACATGTCTAATATGTTAGAAGTTGCAACAAGTTCCAGTATTTGCATACCTGAATAACATTGCAATTCGATTTTAATCACATAACTTTTTCAAACTGATTCTATTAATAATTTGGAATATATCTACTTTAAGCTAATTTTTTATATTCTAGCTGAAAATTCTATTTTCTTTCATTAATTAATTACAAATTAATTTTCCAATCATTAAGAAACTCTTTGGATCAATTTCTATATTTTAAGATTCCAAAAATTGATTCCCTTTCATAGTTAACTTATATTCTCTCTCAAAATATGGCACCATTAATCTGAATGGCCATTTTCTTCCAGAAAGCAAACAAGATGGCAAGACTTTCAAGAAACACTATTCACCCCAGGCAGATAAGGTGAGTAAACACATGTGTTTTTTGATCATTCAGATTTCCTTACCAGGAATCTGTAAAGTTCACACCGGTTTGACGCACTTCGATTGTGCATGAATATTTATAATGGCGTTGAATGGAATTGATTATTCGAAGCCATGTACGTAAATCAGCACTTTTATTCCCATCGGGTTTCTTTTCTTATCTTTCGTGAAATTTGATGATCAATGGGAACGTATCGAATACCAGGCACCCGGTGCTCGCGAATGGCAAAGTTTTCATAATCCTCCAGAGGCTGACATCGTCCTCGATCAATAATGTTGACATTTCCGAGGAAGGCGAATATTTACACGTTGTAAATACGAGCTACAGCATTGTCAAACTTCGGGATATTCTCTTATTTATCCTCTTCTCGGAAACTGCATAGGCGACGGAGAAATATAAAATATGCTTCACCGACGATACTCAGGGTACGTTTATATATATATCATCTGTTGTGCCTCCCAAAAATGCATCAACAAGTTTGTTTTCCTATTTGCCATTGATACTTTATTTAACCTGCACGCGACAGTATGCGAAATATAATTATGACTTTGTGCCAATTTCGTTGGCATACGGTGCAAAGCTCTCAAAGCCAAACAGACATTAGAAGTATAGCGATGTGAGAAGCCTCAGTCTTTGAGGCTTCAGAGTTTAACCTTAGAATTTAAATTGTAGAAATAATTTTGTAATTTTATATCCTAAATAATTGTGAAATTTGTGAAATCTATGTTTAGGGAAGTTACTAATGACAGTGATACTCAAAGTGAAAGGAGATTCAGAGATTTAATTAAATGGGATAATTATTGAAATAGCTGTTGATTACCTGTTGCACAATTTGTTAGTTTCTAGTCGTCGAAAGCGTGTAACAAAGGATTGCATAAATAATAATTAACTAGCACAGCGGTTCGACCGTCCTGACCGC